CGGTTCACGATTGGAGTTCCGCCGGCTTCTGCACAGTGGTTTCCTTATCGAAGGGTTTGTTGTCCAATGCCCTCGCCATCTTGGAATGGACTCGCCATCCACTCGCGCTGCTAAGTAAGGACGATTTGGACGCCGAGTGTGCATGGCGCCAAGGCGAGAGTTCGTCTGAAAGCCACCCGCCCTGTACCTGTTTTTTGCTTTGACCGTGTAAGACGACTGTGTGCGGCGTGATGCGCGCCGTTTGTCGAAACTGTTTTAAGTCCACGCGCCAACGCTATCTGAATTCATCTGTTCCATGAGGCCCCCTGCGGCGACGAGGACGATGAAGATGAGGATGTGGATGCTGCTGCTGCTGATTGGGACGGCGAGTCTGGCAGCGCTTGTAGCGTCTGGGGGCGCCTGGGCGCGCCTTGGAACGTCTGGGGCTGGCTGTGGAACGCTTGGGTCCAACATCGGAGTCGGCGAAGGATGCCTGAAACGTGTTGGTTCATCGTCCAGAAGGTGGGTCGATGTTGAAGATCAGAAGATGCGCGCGGCACGCGATATTTCACATCGTACGGTGAGGGTTGGGTCGGATGGATGGACGTGCGCCGAATTACACTTTGTGGTATTCGATGGTGAGGTTTGGGTCGGGTGGATGTGCAGCAAAAAACACATCTACATCGGATGATTAAGGTTGGGTCGTATGGGGGTACGCCGAAACACATGCAGGATAGGATGGTGGGGTTGGGTCAGATGGATGTGCATCACCTTGTTGCAGGTGTTGAGAACGAACATGCGCGACGCTAAAGCGAGAGTCACACTTTGAAAACCACCCTGGCTCCATCCTAGAAGCTGCTGCCATGCTTCAAAGCGAAGGTGCGCGGCACTAATACGAGAGCCACATGTTGAAAACCACCTGGGTTCCATCCTTGAAGCTGTTGCCAATTTCGAGCGTCAAGATCATCATGGGCCAGGAAGTCACAAGCGAGACGCCTGGCCCGTCCTACGGACACGTCGGGTGGTGCGACAAGGAAGAGGTATCTATAAGGAAAAGGTATAAAAGGGGGAGGAAGAGGAGTAGGAGGGGGTGGGCGTTCTGACCAGCATTTCGTAAGTGAATCTAGCGGCGGCGGCGAGGGCCTCCCAGGAAGCCCATAATATGGGAAAACGAAGGGAGGGTAGCGGTATGGGTACCTTTTACCCCTTCTGAAGGTAGAGGCCACACAGATGGGTTCCGAGTAGATGGGGTCGGAGGATCGCGCCGCATCGCCGGTGCATCGGCGATGCATCGTCGACGTGGGCGATGCATCAGCGCCGTCGACGTGAAGCAAACGGGGCTCCACATCGAGCCGCATCGCCGATGCATCGGCGATGCGGCGCGGTTCTCCGACCCCGTCTGCTCGGACCCCATCTGGGAGGCCTGGAGAAGGTATCTCGAAACGGGCGTGTCGGGGCAGCGAAGCAAGGGACGGGTGGCGGAATGGGTGCCTTTGCCTCCTCTGAAGGTGAGCGTTTCCTTACTCGGCGTTTCGACACTGGGCGGAAGGGGAGAGAGGGGGTGGTCTGGCCCTGGACCTCTGCTTCCTGCGACTGTTTGAGACGGCGCGCCCTGTGGGGGAGACCCCACCTGCTCGAAACAGGCGCCAAGGACAGCCAGGATCTGCTCCATGGGGGGGGAGAGAGAGGGGGAGGGAGAGGGAGGCCGAGGGCCCGCGCCGATGGGCAAAACAACGAATACGCAAACGACTGCCAAGGGCCCCTCGCCGCCTGCGGGTCGCCCGCTGCACGAGCGACCCCCCGGGCGAGAGGGCGGCGTCCGCCGCCGGGGCGGCGGGCGGCGCGGGCCGCGGGGGGTAGCCGCCGCCGCTCGGCGCGGCCATCGGGAGCGGGAGGGCCGCTCCCGCGCCCAGGGGCGGGGAGCGAGGAGGGGGAGGGGGAGGAGGGGGAGGAGGAAGAGGGGGAGGAGGAGGACGGACGAGGAGGAGGAGGAGGAGGAGGAGGAAGGGGAGGAGGAAGAGGAAGAGGCGGAGGCGGAGGAGGAGGAGGAGGAGGAGGAGGAGGAGGAGGAGGCGGAGGAAGGGGGAGACTGTTTCCGTCGGCGGCGAGGCAGAGGCGATCCTCACGAGCGTGGGGCTAATCCGGGGCACCGATCGGCACATTGTCCGGCGTGCAAGAGAGAGAAAGAGAGAGAGAGAGAGAGAGAGACACACACAAAAACGAAGAAGGATAATACGAGGGCGGCCGCGCGGGGGGAGAAGGAAGCAGGCGCTCAGACATGGAAGAGTTCCACGGTGAGCGGGCCTGGCCGGCCAGGGGGAGAGACACGGACGCGGGCACGGCCTGCGCTTTGCACCGCGCTGGTGCCGCAGGTTGGGGCCGGAGCACCCAGAAAAGGATTCGCATGTGAAACTACGGTGCGACGCTGCTCATTTACATCCCATGTCCTGTGTACGCGTCCTCTAAAACAAGCCACGCGTCTGCCACTGCGAGTTTGACCAGAACGTGCAGGGCGTCCTGGGGGCGCCCGGCTCGACCCGCACGGCCGCTGGAGGCTTGAGTGGTGGCCTGTGGGGGCTCCCGGCTCGACCCGAACGGCCGCTGGAGGCTTGAGAGGTGGCCTGGAACCCAAGGAGGAGAAGGGGAGATGAGGGGAAGAAGGAGGGATGGGGGGGGGAGATGAACGGGGGAGGAAAGGGTGATGGGGGGGGACGATGAGGGGGGGAAGGAGGGAGGCGAAGGGAAAGGAGAAGGGGGGTAGTATTGGGAGGAGGAAGAGGAGAGGGAGGACCAGAGTAAACCCGAGACGCATCAGTAATGCTGCAGTACGCTTCTCGTCCCAAGTCCCCTCCTCCTCCTCCTCCTCCTCCTCTTCCTCCTCCTCCTCCTTCTCCTCTTCCTGTTCCTCTTCCTCCTCCACCCCTCCACCCCAACACCCCTCCACCCCTCCACCCCTCCACCCTCCCCCTCCTCCTCTCCCTCCTCCTCCTCTCCTTCCCTCTCTCCTTCCTCCTCCTCATCCCTCCTCCCTCCTCCTCCTCTCCCTGCCTCCTCCTCTCCCTCCCCTCCTCCCCCTCCCCCCTCCTCCTCCCCTGTCCTCGTCCCCCTCCTCCTCCTCCTCCTCCGCCTCCTCCTCCTCCTTCTCACAAATCCCAACGAGAATCCACATGTTCACTGCAGGGAGTGCCCCCTGGAACGTGCGAGCGCCCCGTGGTCCTGCGATTCGGGCGAGGGCCCCGTCTTGAAAAGGAGCTGCCATCTGTGCCTGTGGCTTTGATGACGGGCACGGAGTAGAACCATCAAGTCCAAAGAAGTGCCCCGCGAGATCCCGATCTGAAAAAAGAGCCGCCCTAAGCCCGTGGGATTTTCTCAAATCTTATTCGCCTGGTCACAGTGCCTCGTGAAGACGTAAGCAGTAACCCTGGTTTGATAAGAACCACCTTCCATCCGTGCATCTGTGGCACAGCATCTGATCTCTCTTTCATAAGAACTTGAAGCATGTAAGCCAGAAGCTACTGAAATCGGAAATTCGAAAAACCACACCACCATCCATCCGTGTAGTTGGTGGGGTATTTTACAAATCCGCCGACCTTGCCGACCTTGTCGGCGTGGCCGCAGGCTCGTGAAGTGCCCGTCGCACTCCTGAGCAACAGTCGCACGTCGCCGCATCATCGCCCCTTTCGGGCTCCTACAGCCAGGCCTCGTGGAGTGCGACAAGCAGAGCAGGCCCTGGGCGTCCCGCAGGTGTTTTACCAACGCCGCGGATTTCCCACAAGCAGCCCCATCCGCCCAATGCTTCGAGTGTGACGACCGGGAACTTCGCCCTGGAGACGTGCGCCCGCTCCGCCAGCGACACACCAGCAGCGCCGAACCAGCCCGCCAGCTGCGAGCACCTGCATCCGCCCCAATCTCCCCTCGCCCGCGCACGTCTGTCCCGCGGTGGCAACGCTGCCTCCGCCATCGCGAGCGCCTGTCCCACAGCCCCAACGCGCAGCTGGAGTTCCTTTTTGAGCTGTCCATGCCAATCGCAGTGCTCCTGCACCCATGAGAGTTCGCCCATGAGGTGCTGGAGCGCAGGGTGGTGGCCATGCACGGCTTGCGCGGCCTTATCGAGCTGCTGCGCTGCGAACCCATCAAATACGTGCAAGCCCAAGCGACACTACTCCTGCTGCGCGGTGAACGTTTTGGGCTTGCCGCCTGCACTGTGGATCTCAACGTGACCTTGATCGCAGGCGCGTCGGGGCACCTGGCTCCAGCAGCGGGGGTGTGGTCCACGGGGTGACCAGCGCCGAAAGCTGAGAAAACCACTGCCAAGAAGCACCACAACAGGGCCCTCAGCCGCCATTGCGGCGCGTGCTTCAGTCTGGCTGTCTCATGAGCCAATTGCTGAGGGGAGTCAGCGCGGAGACAGTCTTGGAGGCACGATTCTGGAAAACGAGAAGTGCCGAAGCGCGGACCGAGCAAGTTCATCGCGGTCCGAACTCTCCCTTTGTCACACGTTCATCCTGAACGAACAGGGCTACCAATACAGAGGGGGAGGAGAGAGATGCCGAGGAGGAGGAAGATAATGAGGAGGAGGAGGAATAAGACGTGGGGTAGGGTGGGAGGGCGGAGAGACGAATCGGAGGATGGTGAACTGCGCATGAGGAACAGGAGGGGGAGGACGATAAGGGGGGAGGACGATGGGGAAGGATGAGGAGGAGTAGTCGGAGTAGAGTAGGAGTCAAGCTAGCCAGCTCGAGCGAGTCAAGCATGGCATGCCCAGTCCCACCCGCCCTCCCACAACATAAGAAGCAAAGCTGGCACAACTGGGGGCCGAAGTCACACCGGCCAGCCGGTTTGGTACAGCTGATGCGGCCGCGATGGCGGTTGCCGACGGGAACTGGCGAGCGCGTGTTGAATGCCGCGCACGCATTGCCAGACGAGTCGAGAATGGCCCGGTACACCGCAGGAAGCCAGAGGTGGCCGGAGGAAGCCCGACGGTCTGACAGGACACCCCAAGGGGGCCCAGGAGGCCCCAA